AAAAGGTTAGACACACAGATCTCTTTACCCTAAAGAGTCGGTACTTCTATATTAAGGAAAAAGCGTATTTTACAAAATCTTGGTCATCTGGTAAATCTTTTGGGACATCAATGTAAAATACACAGGAAGACTGAAAAATATTAACCAAAAAGAACAATCATGCGCCATGTTAGCTTGCCTGTTCAGAGAGATAGAGTCGCTGGCGGTTTTTCAAAGCACCCTGCTCAACTATTGGACCCCACCTGTTGTCAAAACAGTATAACCGTGAATATGACTGACCATTTTAAAGAGCATACAAATTGATAAGACCAAGATCATGAGACAGCTCGATACCAATTTTCAAATATGAATAAAGAAAAACATGATCATTATCCACTTCATATAAATGCAAAGCTAAAAGTTTTGCGCACAACCATCACTTAGGAATAATTGCCACGTTCCCTCCCTCCCTCTCTCTCACACGCACACAACAAGAAAAATCATGTACCGTGTATGTTTAACCCCACTTACTCAATTTAAGATCAGAACTTTAAGCATCGTGACCAGAAAAAAATAAACCATTAAACCAACTAGCTCACAAGTAGAAAGGATATCACATACATAGAGTTTCACAACCATGTGCAAGATGTATATACTCTATTACATACATCGTATCTAACAATCATGTGCAACTATGCACATACTAATAAATACGTAAGCATGTGTACTTATCATTCAGATCCTAAAGAAAGTAATCACCAAGATTCAGATCTTTTTCCTTTTTTTTCTTTTTTCTTTTCCTTTTTTTTCTTTTTTTTTTTTGGAATTCAGGTCTTGGTTTAAACTTTAAAGGTTACATAATCTCCCAAAGAGATTTACAATATAAGGAGGAAAGGGAACAATCAAAAGGCGTGACGGGAACAATCAAAAGGCGTGTCATAGATAATATACCAAAAGTAGTTTCTATCTTCCCCTTTAAAAGATTAGTTTTCCATTTTAAAGCTATAAAACTTGCTTATAATGCTTCCTTACAAGAACTACCTAAGTTTTTAACATTCAACGTATAGTCAGATTTAACTATCGTCGTCAAAATCTATGAATGCTAATCGTTTACCTGCAACTATACATGCATAATTTACATATAAATAACATACACAAATATCCCGTTTCATGAGATCAACTATATGCCTAGTGAAGGAAATACATAACCAACTTTCATCCTCATCAGTACAATTTGGTTCAGCATAATAAAACTATAGTATATTGCAAACAAAAGAAAGAAATTCTTAATACCGGCAGCAAAGAGAAGGCCATAAACCGCTATGATTAGTGAACCAATCATACAGGACCGCGATATTAGACTTCCACATCAGATACTTCTCACCAAACTTGCAACTCTTCTCCCCACCTTCACTACTAGATCCACTAAGAGCCCCTTCTCTTTTGTCTACCTTTCCTCTTACAGAACTCTGGGTAACTACCATGTTGGTTTGTAGATGGATCAAATCTATACAATAAACAGAAGCAAGAGCCAGCAAAAGTTGTAATGGCTCAAAGTGGATATATATCCTCAAACAACTTTATTAAGTTGAAATGACCAAAAATGAGAAGATAGCTGCCGTGATTATTTCATGCTCTTGGATCCTTGTGGAATGCAATGACTTCCTCATATGATGTGAGAAAAATATTAGGAAAAGTACTGTCTGGATACACAACTGAGACGAAGAAGAAATTATAAAGCCTTCATACAAAATACTTTGCAAGACATGAAAGTATTCTTTGGTTTAATAAGTCTACAGCAACCTACAATCATCCTGAATTGACCTTCCATCAATAATTTGAATAATTTTTGTTCTTTTTGAAAGTATTCATTAACTTTTTTTATGAAAGTTTTCAAAATTGGAACATAACACACTTTTTTTAAAAATAAAGGAAAATGAAAACTTCATTTGACTATGTGAATTCTAATTGGTTATGCTCTGAGGAGTATAATTGAAGAAAAAAATATTATTCCTCCGTTTCATTTTATGTGGCAATGTTTGACTAGGCACGGAGTTTAAGAAAGGAGGGAATGACTTATGCAACTTGCACTCTTACACATGACATAACATTTTTGTGGCTAAAAAAGCTTGCCATTAATGGTAAAATCAGAAGTTTAAAGTTAAATCGTAATAAAAGGTGTCATTCTTTTTTAACAGACTAAAAAGAAAGAAGTCACATAAAATGGAACAGAGGGACTAGTATTTGTATAAAGGTATGGAGGCATGCATTTATGCAATTTTGAGTAACACTTGGAAATTTTCATGATACTTCCTAAGCGAAAAATTTAAAAAAAATAAAATAAAAGTGAAGCCTCGCATAGTAAAGGAAAGGAAAGAAAAGGGGAAAAAAAGAAAGATTGAAGCCTCAAAATATCTTTTATTAGACACTACGGAAACGAAAAAGGCAAAATACCCATGGCATGAGTTATCTTGTTAGATACACCAAAACCGTAGAACTATTAGAAAATGAAATGAACTCGAATTTGAAAATTCAATAGTCACAGCTGACGAGGCCAGCCTTATCAAGTAAAACCATAAAAAAATTATAAGGAAAACCATCAATACATCCAAATGAAACAAAAATTACAATATAATAGAGGTAAAAGATCAACTTATTTAGAAAGATTTGATAAAAACGTTAGCAGTCCTTGAGTCTTGAACCAAACCAACCAAAAATAGAAATAACGATAAAAAATCCAATATTAGTAACTATATATAACACTCAGTCACTCAGCATATCAAAGAAAAGTAACTAAGATCGGAAGATGAAAATAAAGATGATATCATTACATATCAAGGGGGAAAAAATCTTTATGTATCAAGGATGTAAAACTCATAACCTTCAAAATATTTATTGAAGATACACAATGTAGCGAAAAAACACGGCCTCAGCTTATATGATGAAATGCCATTAGCAAATAAAGAATGAAAAGCAAGAGTGTCCACCTATAGATATATAACATGAAAGAGTGATTAGGTGATAAAGATTATCACTAAAATCAAGCACAAGAAAGAACCTGAATTTACTTGCAAACGCACAAATGATGGGAGAGGCGGATGCAGGAGGCGAAAAGAAGAAGAGATAGGGAAATAAGGGTTTCACCGTGTATAATTAGTGGACGAATTTACCCCTAAATGTGGAGTCATTATATTAATGAGCTGCGGATACTTCCAAAAAGCGAGCAGTTCAACGAATAATTGATTGGATTAACTCCAGAGTTAAAATAAGTCAAATATCACCCTTCATTAAACCCCTACCAAAAGGCATATTGCATTTCCACATTGTTGTAAGCACTACTTTAGCAATTTCGGAAGCAACATTTACCATCTATGTTACTACCCTATTTTACAATGGTTGAAGCAATCGTTGCCTCAAATTTCATCTCAGCTTAAGAAACAAGATACCAATAACCTTTATCAGTAATTTCATTAATTTAAGCCTCTCCTCTTGGAAAATTGTAGTTTCCTAGATAGATATAGAATTATAAAGCTACATTAAAGCCAAGTCAATGAAATCAGCAGGTCAAAACTCTAAAGGAAATCGGCAACAGCACAACAATCTAGTGAAATAGCTGACATATCTCATAGACCAAATCATTAGCCATGCAAGCAAAAACTAGCAAAACAATAGTCAGCAAAACATAGATCTTGCCCAACAGAGTGGTACAAATAATTGAAGCATGGGCCACCAACAACAAAATCCAGCTTCTGACCTAAGTCCAAAACATCCCTAAATTATATTCATACAGTCAACCTCAAGTGTGAACACTTCAATAAAGTGTGGCACCACATATCGAGGTATATAGTAGGCCTATTTACTTTTAATAAGGGGTAATTTATTAAACAAAGTAAGAAACTGCCAGCAAAAAAGGAGATGTTAGCAGTTGATAGTTACGGACGGTTACAAAAACTCAGTTACTACAGTGATTGTATTGGATTAAGGAAATCGAACACAGGATCTTGTCATATATACTAACTAGTCAGACAAGTTCCGCAAAGATCCAAATTAATACTGACGTAATTTTTTCTTAATCGACATAAAACTACCCACAATCCACCATGGATGACAGTTCAAAATTGGCGTAGGCAGTGTTTGACAGCTATCGCTTCATAGCTTTAGAGAAGTGCGCTTCAAACAATGATGCACAAAATGATCCCAATGAGAAACGGCCAATTATTTTAATTGTGTTTTTAAGGATTTGGATTAATATCTGCATTATTGTATATTACATGTTGAAAACATGAAATTAGTGTTACCGATCAAACAAAGAAAAAAAAAACAAACATGAAATTAGTGATATCTCAGGGCTTTGGCATAGAGTTAACCGGTAAGAGCGCAACATGTGATGTGTGGGTTAGATGTACATCACGAGTTTGAACCTTGTTGCAGACAAAAGCCTGGAGAAGAGTAGAGGGACAGGCACATCATTGTCCCTCACGAGTTTCTCGATTATCAAAAAAAAAATTGAAATTTGATTATTATAGGACCAAATTCATATATGTTCTACTAACTTTTAGTTTTCCGTAAGTTGTGTGCTTCACTTCAAAGAAATGTGTACTTCATTTCTCACTTAGTTCCATGATTTTTTTCGATTTTTCCTTTTAACAACACTGGGGCCACACCTATGGGCAGATTACAAATTAATTCTACCTTCTCATTCACAGTCATTACAACAAACAACAGGGCAATGTGCGAGCTTCTTCATAAATAATAGTCATACGAGTTGAATACAACAGCTAAGATTTCCACTCTGATGCGTTAAATCATAGACCGGGAGTATCAAATATCACTGCAAACCCTAGCAAAACAGAGTCCCGTACACATAGTAGACACATACCTAGGGTTCCAAAAGCACCAAACCGAAACACATATTCTCGAAATTAACAACATACAAAATGTGCGTCTTAAAAAAGAAATATGTATACCTGCAAGAGAGGGAAGGCCAAACGAGGTTGTGATTAGCGAACCAGTCGTAGAGAACAGGGACGAGTGACTTCCACTGAACATATTTCTCGTCGATAGCATTAGCAGCCGCTTTCTTATCAGTAATACTACCTCTCATCCTGTGTTGGAGCTCCTTATCTCTTTCCTCTTTGGTTTTGGTTGAAGAACCCTTTGGCCTCCCACGCTTCTTTGGCTGAGAAGGAGGAGTTGTTTCCATGGCAGAAAATTTTTGGGGGGAAAAGTTAAAACCCTTAGAAGAAAACCCTTGGAACAGAACTTGGACCTACAAATTATAAACAACAGTAATGAATAGTGACTGTTGAAGTTAGAACTTAGAAAGGGCTTTTATAGGAAAATGAAATGAAATCAAAATGGCAGGCAGCAACAGAAATAAACCTGAGAGACACTCTGCCTTTTTCTCCTCGTATTTGATTTTTGAAACACGAAATTGCTCCACCTTTTCCTCTCTTCTTCTTCTTGTCTAAAAATAAATGAGTTATGAGGATATTAATTATAATTAGTATGTCTCGGTCTCAAAATTAATAGAAATTAACTATAAGTGTCTTTTTATATCCCAAAACAATAATATCGTACTAGAAAATGGAAGTAGAGACGACTAATCAATTTTATAATTCAAAAAACGCACGTAATTGATTTAATAAATAGTTACAATTATTAATAAAATAAGCTTTCATTAAGTTTTCAACAAGTTGGTTATATTTTTCAAGGAATCAAGAGGGTTCTTTAAAGAATTTCAATGTAAAATTTTCTTCAAACGAAATACTTTTTTTTAAATTATTGATAGAGTTAACTATGAAAAGTAAAAAGTGAGGGTGTACAAAGAAAATCGATAATCCGATTCAAATCGAGAAAAAAAACCCGATTGTCATTTGGTTTGATTTGGGTTAGTGTTGGGAAAAAAATCGACCATAATTGGTTTGGTTTGGTTTGGTTTTAACTAAAAAAAGTGAAATCGAAACCAAACCAACCCGACATTATATTTATACAATTTAAAAAAATATTTTATGCATATGAATATTTATTGTAATATAATTTATAAATATTTGTTAAACGTGTTCACAGTTTTATCTTTAAAAGTATTATTTAAAGTTTGGACTTTACATTCTTGAATGATCCAATAAATTGCATAGCACATAAAGGTAGTAAGTCAAATAAAGTTCAAATCAATACTAATGCTAATAAAGAAAATTCAATTCAACACTAGGAATGACAATAGTGTTGAATATCTATTTTTTAGTTTTGCATTGATTTATAATGAAAATGTATAGCCTAGTTTATCCTTTTTTATGCTTAATTGTGTAATTAATAGTACTTATTAGTTGTATTTATTTTAGCACGACCTATATAGTGTTTTTAGATTATGTTAATTTTTATTATGGTGTATTAATTAGTAATATTTTCTTTGTGCAATTTTATTATCTATATTATTGAATATTTTAGTACAATGTTATGACTCATCTCATATTATCATTATTTTATTTTCTTGAAAAATATATTATATAGTTGTATCCTACTAGGACTAAAATAAATATTTGGAGAATAAGTTACATATTTTGTGTTATTATGACTTTACCGGGAAAAAATCCCAAAATCCGAAAAAATCTGAGAAAAACCAAGATTGAAAAACATGACTTTATTGGTTTGGTTTGGTTTATAAATTTAAAAACCCGACACCATTTATTTGGTTTGGTAATTGAAAAATCCGAACCAAACCAACCTACGTACACCCCTGGTAAAAAGCTTATCAAATGAGCTAGTCCTCGACCCCATCCAAACGAACTTACTATGTGGGGCTATTCTCACTCCTTATTTTTAATCAAGAATGAAATAGACTTTGATTGTAAGTTTGTAACATAGTTTTTGGAGTGAAGGAAATGAATATGGAATTTCTTTTCGTTACGTAGTAGAAGGCTAGAACAATAACAACAACAATCCTGTATAATTCCACTAGTGAGGTCTGGGAAAGGTAATACCCGACACCATTTGTTTGGTTTGGTAATTGAAAAATCCGAACCAAACCGACCTACGTACACCCATGGTAAAAAGCTTATCAAATGAGCTAGTCCTCGACCCCATCCAAACGAACTTACTATGTGGGGCTATTCTCACTCCTTATTTTTAATCAAGAATGAAATAGACTTTGATTGTAAGTTTGTAACATAGTTTTTGGAGTGAAGGAAATGAATATGGAATTTCTTTTCGTTACGTAGTAGAAGGCTAGAACAATAACAACAACAATCCTGTATAATTCCACTAGTGAGGTCTGGGAAAGGTAATACCCGACACCATTTGTTTGCTTTGGTAATTGAAAAATCCGAACCAAACCGACCTATGTACACCCATGGTAAAAAGCTTATCAAATGAGCTAGTCCTGGACCCCATCCAAACGAACTTACTATGTGGGGCTATTCTCACTCCTTATTTTTAATCAAGAATGAAATAGACTTTGATTGTAAGTTTGTAACATAGTTTTTGGAGTGAAGGAAATGAATATGGAATTTGTTTACATTAGACCCTCGACTCCCTTCCTCCAAGAACTCCTCACCTTGCTCTTGAAGTGACTCGAACTCACAACCTCTTGGTTGGAAGTGGAGGGTGCTCACCACTAGAGCAACCCACTCTTGTCAAGGCTATAACAATGCATTCAAATATTTCAAATGGTTTATTGCCACACATTGAGTTTTTGAAAGATTTGAAAAACTAAATATGGGAATCTTCAATAAAAAGAAATTTAAACTTTTTTTCTCCAAATATAATTCAAACAAACACTTTTGCGAAAACTCAAAAAAAAAAAATGACTTTGCAAACGCACTTTTTCAGAACATCTTAAGAACGAAGTAATCGTTTTTTTTTCCCTCTTACCTCCATGAAATGCATTATCTTAATTTTATAAGCAGTGAACTAAAACATTTGGAAACCTCAAAATTGGCATAAAAGAGAAAACACAGTAGATCCCTTACAGGAAAAGGAAAAAAAAAAGAAAACAGAAGTCCTGATTGTCATTCAGTTCCTGAACTCTCAGGCTACTCAAGGAGGTGACGATCCGTTCTAGGAGGTGACGATCCGTTCTAAGGATTTTGTCATAAAGTTCTACAACAGTCAAAATGGCATTCATTTTGAAGCTGAATACAAAATCTCGTTTCTATCCATGTCTGTAAATCAAACATACACGCCTGACGCAAGCAGCAAGAACAATGATCCAAAACCCTGCATCAGGTTGAGAAGGGGGGAATCGATCAGTTATCCGATACAGAAAAGGAAAAATCAAATCACAATTGTGAGTTTGCGACATACCAAGAAAACAGATGCTACTGCCCCACTCGTGAGCTCTTTTGCAAGGCTGCGATTCTTCCTTGAAGAAGTAGCTTCATAGCTGTTACACATTTATAGCTTTGTTACAAAGACAAAAGGGCAAGAGAACCTGTAGAATGGAGAACCTCACTAAAGCAGCAAACTGATGCTCTTTAAACCATAACCTAGTTATGAGTAAACTCCCTGGAATTCTATATCTCATTAAAGAGGTTATTTAATGGCCACTAATAGGTTTGATTATACAACACAATCATAGGACAAAATCTGTTTCATGTTTTTAAGTGCTTTCATTTTTTAAGGATGGTTAGAGGTATCTCATTAGTCTCAACCAGAAACAAGCTTTATGCAAATGTATTTTTTTCCAATGCTTAACCTGCTATGTTGTACAAGGATTTGGTGACATGAGTGTCAAACGCTGTAACCAAGTTAATTAGGAAGACAAAGAAATGCTTATCTAAAAAATAACATGATCATCTAAGAATCTTGGGTTTTTGAGGAAAGCAACCTCATAATCAAATATTGCTAGAAGGGAAGTCCTTACACCTCTTCTAGCTTGCTCAATAGTAATGTAAAAGAACTTAAAGAAGTCTGTACCACGTTCTCACATGTCATATCTTAATTTTGAAAAGGTGCAACTTTAATCTGTATCAACTGTTAAAAAGTGATCAAAAAGGAAGGAAATAGTACTAAAGCAGAAAAGTCTATGTAATATTGTTGTATACTCCAAAATCAGACTAACATGTATCAAGTGAAGTACAAGCAGAGCTTACGATTTCCATAGGACTTCCCACACCATAGAGATATTTTCTAAAAATGAAAAGAAAGGTAAGGCCAAATGACTTTCCTGCATTTATTTTCCAGACAAGGACCGGAAAATCGAGTTTTTTTTAAATTAGGTAAAAGGTGGACAGAAAACTCAACTGAGTTACAACCAGAAAATCTGGTTTTCAGTACATATATTAGTCCATTCAATCCCTTAAGAAGGACACAAACTGTTAAAATATCTTTTTGTGAAGGCACATTTCATCTACCCTCCCAACCACTTGCTACTCTGCCGCTTCCACTTCAAGGCTCCTAGTCAAACCTTCTTTTTGCTTTTCTTTTTTTTCCCCTTCTGATGGATAAGAGAATTATTATATTAAGAACGCACCGAGGCGGTGCCAACAAAGTGAACAGAAAACATCTAGTATACAATGAAGTATACAACCCAAAACCCCAAAAAAGAGAAAGATTGACCAAGTCTTAAGCCATTAACAATCATGCTGAGTAACAACTGCTGTGAATAGGATAAAATTGGCCTAGTGATCAATGAAAAGGGTTGACAACCATGACGTCTCAGGTCTATCAAAAAATAAAAAAAATTATGAGGCCTCATGTTCAAATCCCAACGGAGACAAAACATTAGGTGATTTCTTCCCCTCTGTCAAGCCTTGGTGGACAAAGATACCTGATATCTGTGCTGGTGGGAGGTAAGAGGTATCTTGTGGATTAATCGAGGTGCGCACAAGTTGATCCGAACACCACAGCCATCAAAAAAATTAAGATAAACCCATACCAAAATCCCTTCCGGATAATCTCATCACATCCATTTCATTACAATCTCATTATAATTGACTGAGAGAACCAAGTTACCCCCTAAAGGCAAGCAACAAAGAATAGCAAGAATGAGGAATCCAGAGGTTACAAATTATTATGGAGAAAATTTTGCTCGAGTATCCTTGCTTTAGGATGATGTGGTGCACAAGGTGAGTCTACATTCAAGTTGTAAAGAAGAATTTCACAACCATAACACTCCTTGAAGACTTTCGAACCATGTAAAAGGAGGAACAAACAAAGAATGTTTCCAATGCCTAGCTACATCGAGATTGTAGGGATATCCGTGTGAATGCTAAATGTAAGTTCATGTGACTTGAAAAATTTCAAGTCATCCAGAAAGCACATCATCATCAAGTTGCTATCATCTGATCAAATATCTGAAATACCCATAATTCTCCCCCTCCAGCAATGTTGCTCAAGGAAGGATGAGCAAGATGCAACCAATGAAGGCTCCTTTTTAAAAATGTTTTCATAGAAAATAAGGTACATGTTTTACTGTTATAAGTTGTTATCAGAACTTAAGCAACTCTAATATTACCATCCCTAACTGGATGGAAGCGCCTTTGGAGGAACAAAGCCCCTTTGACGGTGGAATGTGTCACATGGTTGGTGGTCCAAGGAGCATGTCCAACTCAAGATAATCTCCAGAGATGAGGGTTAAACCTTTGCAGTAGACGTTCACTGTGTGAAAGGCAGATTGAGGATCTCAACCACCTTCTCATTCACTGCTCCTTCACCAAACAGATATGCAACTGTATTCTAAGCATTGTTGGGGTTAACTGGTCAATGCCGAGGACAACCAAAGAGTTACTGCAATGCTGGTCAAGGAAGGGACTAGGAAAGGTAGAGATGAAAACTTGGAACTCACTTCCTGCAGCAGTCTGGTGGACCATTTGGAAGGAAAGGAATGCAAGAATTTTTGAAAGCAAATGTGAATCTGAAATTAGCATGAAGAACACATGTATTTCTCTACTTTTTTGGGAGTAACATGGCAATTGCCAATGATATTGAGGCCATGATAGAATCTTTGAGCTAACTACACGACGAGTAATGATGTTGCCCCCTGTACATATTTACAGCACTCACTATCTCACTTCCCCGGACACGCAGATAGCGGGAGATTAGTGCACCGTCTCACTTGTTGCTGGATATCAGTAATACTTATCTTAATGATCAAAAAAAGAGTTACAAATTTTACAAATTTTACCTGGGATAGTTCATTTCTTGAATTATTTAGACAGGCTACACAAAATAATAATAATTCAGGAATTAGAAAAAGATATCCAACAATTGAAGAATGTATGAATCAAAATCAGATCGAGCACTTACATGAGGAAAGAAGCCGTTACGACAAGACCAATAGCGAGCATGAACACGGCTAGAGTTGGGTACAACGACTCAGGGACTGGGCTCGAGATAGGTTTTGCTGATTGAGCCTTCCCAAAATAAATTCCGAAAAAAAAATCAAAATCTATAACAAACTCAATGAAATGAAACCATGATAAAACCAAAAACAATGAAGTGAAGTTCACACCATTTCAAAAACCTATAATATGGAGTCAGATCTTCTCGGCCGTACTCGTCTGTAGATTACTCCGAACTCCCAAGTCTTTGTATTTCTCTCCTTGGTACTGAGAACGGAATTTATAATATAGATTTAAATGGCGTTTGAGAGCGAGCATAAACGTGATTTATAAGCAAAAATATAAGTCGCATTAATGCGTTTTATAAGTCTAATTTTTCAAACACGTTTTATAACTCGTAGTGACCAAATGCGCTTTATAAGTCCTCGATTTATGCTGATAAACGCGATATTTATAAGACGCATTCTTACAATACGATTTATAATTTCAAACCGATTTATAAATTAACTGAATACTTTTTATAAGTCGTTGCCTTTGAATATGATTTATAAGTCAACAATACGATTTATAAACCTATTTATAAGTTGGCTTCAATGAATGTGTTTTATAAGTAGTCGTCTCTGACTATGCTTTACAAGTCGTATGCACCGAATGCAATTTATAAGTCACATTTTGTTAAATTATAAGTCACATTCGACTAATGCGTTTATAGTTTTAAAGAATGCAATTTATGGCCTCTAAACACTTTAGAGTTTTTTCGTATTTCAAATTTCCACTTTTGACTTTTATATTAGTTATTTACTATGGAACAACAATAGCGACCCAGTAAAATCCCACAAGTAGGTTTAGGGAGGTAGTGCGTACGCATAGCTTACCCCTACCCCGAAGGAGTAGAGAGGCTGTTTCCGAAAGACCCTAGGCTCAAGAAGACGAAAAAGACGAGAAGAGAAGGCAAAGGACAATATATTAGTACCATCAAACAGAAACCAAAGAAATAATATTAGCATCATAAGAACTAGAAAATAGTTGAAATGCAATAACAAAACCAGAAAATAAGCCTGATGCTATGAAAACGTAAGGATATGGAGAACACAACATAAACCCCTAGCAGTCTAAGACCACCCCTATCGAACTAGCCTCACCCCTGGACTCGATTAAGTCCTAACCTACAACCCTAATGCTCGACCTCCACACCTTTTTATCAAGGACCATGTCTTCAGAAATATGCAGCAACACTATGTCTTGTCTAATCACCTCTCTCCAATACTTCTTAGGCCGCCCTCTACCTCTTCTCGTCACCGCAAGGGCCAAACTCTCGTAGCTCCTCACCGGAGCATCAGGGTTCCTCCTCCGCACGTGCCCGAACCATCTGAGCCTCGCTTCCGGCATCTTGTCATCCATAGGAACCACGCCCACCTTCTCCTGAATAACTCAATTCCTAATCTTATCCATCCTAGCATGCCCGCACATCCACCTCAATATCCTCATCTCTGCCACTTTCATCTTCTCAATATGAGAGCTTTTAACTGGCCAACACTCTATCCCACACAACATGGCCGATCTAACCACAATTCTATAGAACTTACCTTCGATTAACGGTGGCACTCTCTTGTCACACAGAACTCCTGATGTTAACCTCTATTTTATCCACCCCACCCCTATACGGAGTGTGACGTCCTCATCAATCTCTCATCCCCCTAGATAATCGACCCCATATACTTAAAACTACTTCTCTTGGGGATGACCTGTGCTCCAAGCCTCACGTCCATTCCCACATCCCCCTACTCGGCGCTGAACTTGCATTCCAAATATTCTATCGTAGTCCTGCTCAACTTGAAACCTTTAGACTCGAGGGTGTGCCTCCAAACTTCCAGCCTGTTATTAACAACGCCTCGCGTCTCATTAATCAGAATTATGTCGTCAACGAATAACATACAACATGGCACCTCCCCTTGAATGTGGCGTGTCACTGCATCCATCACCAGGGCAAATAAGAACGGGCTGAGAGCAGATCCTTGATGTAAACCCATAACAACCGAAAAATGCCCTGAGTGGCCTCCCATTGTCCTAACCCGAGTCTTAGCTCCATTATACATGTCCTTGATCACCCTAATGTAAGCTACCGGCACACCTTTTGCCTCCAGGCATCTCTAGAGAACCTCCATAGGGACCTCGTCATATGCTTTCTCCAGGTCAATAAATACCATGTGCAGCTCCTTCTTTCCTATCCCTGTAATGTTCCACCAAACTCCTAATAAGGTGGATAGATTCCGTAGTCGATCGACCCGGCATGAACCCGAACTGGCTACCATATATAGATACAGCCCTCCACACCCTTACTTCCACCACCCTCTCCCAAACTTTCATGGTATGCCTAAGTAACTTGATACCTCTATAGTTGTTACAATACTGGATATCACCTTTGTTCTTGTACAACGGTACCACCGTACCCCACCTCTACTCATCCGGCATCCTCTTCGTCCTGAAAATAACATTGAACATCCCAGTCAGCCACTCCAGGCCTGCTCTACCTACATACCTCCAAAATTGGACCGAAATTTCGTCTGGCTCAGTCGCTCTGCCCCTGCTCATCTTACGCATAGCCCCCACGACTGTCACGACCCCAAACTGGATGGTCATGACTGGTAACCGGCCATACTTGCCGAGCACCAACGTACATTTTATCTAACCTTTCTTATTATCTATAAGGTCCAACGAGGTCAACATAAATGGTAGACATGAATCACAAACATCCAACAATGATAGATAACGACATAAACACATATAACATGGGCCGACAAGGCTATCGCAAAGCTATATACAATAAAATCGACCGACAAGGCTATCCAAAACTATACATGAGATGACATTTGTCTATGAGCCTCTAAAGAAACACAAGTGTTGGAATATTGTCGGAACAAGGCCCCGACCTACCCATAAAGTCTATAACAAAAATGCAGACCAAGACCATGGAAAGTCCAGAGAAGGGGTCTCGCCAATAACGCTAAACTGAACAGTCTACTGTGGTGGGGGAGCTTCGTATGTAAGGCAGGATAACATAATTAAGAACAGTAATATAAAGAGAGATAGAGAAAATACCACCTGTAGTATCTGAGTGCCTCTGAGGGCGACTGACATGAAATATATATATANNCATCATCATCATCATATCGTATCCCGTCATAATAGGCTCGGTAAAAACGTACCCAGCCATCATAAGGCTTGGTAAAACCCAACTGATCAGTGGTTGCACAATAGGTGCCATACCCGACCGACTATAACGCGGATCGATAGAGTATAATAGGTACATACATATAATGCATGTTGGACTTATGGAATCACATTATGAACATTTCGGAGCGACGTAAGGTCGGTAACCTTCGTATACGTTATTAGAGGATCTAACTCGCCATCATACATATTATAGGATTCAGGGAATACTAACAACATTTGGTACATAAAAATAAGAGAAGCAACATCAATATGAATCTTTCCATAAGAAGGGAAATAATGTAAATACTGCTAGCTTCTATGAGTAGAATATCTTCGTCCGTTTATTTTACGTACAATCAGAGCCATGCAAAAGAAAGAAAGGGATAGCTTCACATACCTTGTATATACTGCCCAACCCCAAGCTATGCAAAGGTTACGACTCCTTAGTCTACAATAAGAGAAACGATACTATCGTTATCTTTTAAGCGTCATAACTATTATATGTCGACCACGACCTATTTTATAATAAAACAGGCAGCACCTCCCCTATTTATATGACTTCCCATAAGTTATTATAGCCAACAAAAACCAACATACGCTCGTATATAATAGCCTTATACACTTTCTTATTTCAAATTCACAAGCATAATAATAACAACACAACACAACATCAACTAAAAACTACCGATATGCCAATACTATCGTCAAACAATCAAAGAACGACAAGCTCCCGAGGCTCTATACAATGGTGTACTCCACACCCGACCTCCTTTTAACAACAACCAAGCTCTACATGAGCTACCACGCTACCGCCAATCTCCATACCATACGAAAGGAGCCCATAACCTATTTATACAATTACTATGACTTGAACTCACGGCTTCCAATCACCGTCCCGTGAGTTCTCAACCATTACATTCCTTAAAATAAAACTTACCTTAACTAGATGTATGAAAATATGGAGAAGTTGTACGTAGAAGGAAACTTTGAGCACTTCACTGCTTTAGGGAAAAAGGGATGAGCAAGATAGAGTTTATCCCCATGTAGTTGCTGGAGTGTAAATATATGTATCTAATAATTTCCCCCTTTTTCAATGATAAAGTATCTTAAACACTATGTATATAGAGGATATGTTCGGCTGAAATACATCCCATCACCAAACTATTGCAAAAGTTTATTTCTTAGTGTAGAAGAAGTCAAAGTATTTAGAATATATATATATTGAAATGATTTGTCCAACCAACTCCACTACTTTCTAATTGAGTAAAATATCATCACTTGTCACGTAGCACTAGGAAGTCTCTTAAACAGATTACTATAACTACTTTGATAAAGTACTTTATTCCAAAAAAAGTTAATACTTATCTAGTAAAATAAGTAGCTAATGTTATTTACAAACTTATCTATTAATTGGTAATTATTATACTTGGTAACAAAATAAATATGTTAATATTTTATAAAGGTCAGGACATTGATTAAAAAAATATATCATAACAATTCTAATTTTTCCCAACATAATATCAAAATACAAATTTTCTGCTATAAGTTCTTAAAACGATAAAAAAATAACTTTTTCGCTTTATGAGAAAATAATTTCTATTTTTCTAATAAAGAAAATTCTCATTTATAAACTTCCGCATATCATGTACTTAATTTAATACACATCCGAAAAGTAAAAATAACAATAACTACATAAAAGCAAACTTATCAAATCTTTACTAAAACATTGTCAAAATTACGGGGTCTTTGTTAACACTGTCAAAAATTTCCTATAACCACATGAGTAATCTTAATCCCTTCAAGTTTATATGGATTTACTACGACGTATCCTAACGCCCAGGTGCGGTATGTTACATCCTTCCTCCCTCAGGAATATTCGTCCTCGAATGTAAGAGTTTATGGGGAGTCTAGCTCATATAAAATGGACGCTAGCCAAACCTGTAAGCAGTTAAACCCGACCTGCAGCCTCACAAGGCTATACAAAGCATTATAGATATGTACATTAGCTGTGTATCACCAATTGGTATTAAGGAAGTGTATTCTCAAGCTATTGTTTACCTCATAGATCCGTTTCCGTTGCATTTTGCGTTCTCCCGATATCCTCGTTATC